TACTAAATATTCTTATAATGACAAAATAACAAGGATACAACTTATCTTTACTAAGCCTATTTTATAGTTTTGACATCATATAATATTCATGTTGCTATAAACTATAAGTATTATTACTAGAAACAATAATAGAACATTAATAAAAAAAGAATACTAATAATAAATATAATCAAATAAAATAAAAATAAAATAATAACAAAGGCAACAATTAAAAAACTATTGTTAGAAGTTAGTATTGCATAATGGTTATCAAAAACATGACTAAAACTATAACTAGAATTGCAATCTGGATTGTAACCCAAAACCAGCAATTGTGTAATCTAATTTCTTCCAAGAAAAGCCCAAGAATTGGAATAAGTTAATTGTAACTAACCTAAAAAAGAAAGAATAAATTAGTAGAATCACCATAATGCTTAGCAAAGAAAAGGTAAAAATAACTTACTTTTACAAGCATGCAACTGAGCCTTAGTACCATAAAAATGTTTTGGGTTACAAAGCTGTAACTTTATAGGCAGAACCTACAAAATAGAGAAGTTGATGAAAAGAAGGAAGCATGAGTCAAAAAATGATATGATGCAATTAAAAGAAAAAGAAAACATTAGAACAGAAAAAGAAAAAATGTTTCTAATATACTTCTCTGACAATTCATTATAAAAAGCTCTCTTTTTTGACATTAAGCAGGATAGAACTCCTTGCTTTCCTCTCTACTTCTGTAATTAAAAATAAATAATTATAAATAAAACTTTAGATAAATTATAAAAAAGGCAAAGTGAGATTCTTTAATAAAAAAAAAAACTCCCTATCATTAACTTGCTCAAAAGCCATTGCCAAATCATAATCATCTTGTCTTGCTTTTAGTAATATTACATGTCATCAATGAAATTGAAGCAACAATTTATTGCATTTGCTGTATCATTGAACTCACTCTATTCTCCTATGACACTATTTTTATCAATAAGCCTAGAAATCAATAAGAATCATTAATAGATGATAATAACTAAAACAAAACAAGACAATTTATAAACAATTTTGTACACATATAAAGGTAAACTCTTACATGACAAATATTTTTTTTATGATATAATATTTTAAAATTACAGAAATAATATAGTATTTAATTATTATCTCACAACAATATCATGAAGAAATTGTCTAAAAATCATGAAAATATCTGTACAAATTCTCAAAAAAAACAAATAAAAAAAATAACTGTAAGTTCAATAATAAGCCTACTTTACAAATATATGAATACATAGTACTATATTATATAAAAAAAATAATAATTACCTAATTTTGCATCTAAAAAATTAACTATATTTGTTGTAATAAGTTCATGATTATATCGCTCATACAGTAAAGTTTTTTCTTTTGTATAGGAATATGCTATAATGACAGAATATTAGGAAAAAATTTCTTTAATGAAAAGAAGCAAATAAGTAAGTTGTATTTAAAGAAAAGAAAAAATAGTTAACTTAGTTTCAAAAATGTAATAGAATCGTTTAAAAGTAAGTTAATAGATCTTTTATGTATTGAGTCGAAAGGTTTAAAAAAATATAAAAAAAAATAATATTGAAAAATTTACTGGTTTTATAATTAAAATCTTCACATAAGAAAGTATAGAAATTCATCCAATGTTGATCAACTATCAATATATAATATTACTGATTTTTGTATAATATAAATCTTTATTATTAACAGAACACCAAAATTTTAGACTAAAATTTATCAGAGCTAGCCAGCATTAAGCAATTAGTATCTGATTGATTTTAGTTGCACAATTAATTTCAAAAAGATTATTACTATGTAATCATAGTCTAAAAATTATTTTTTTTAGTAAATATTTAATATTAGGCCTATTCAATTACTTAAAATTAAAACCTAAATAATTATATTCATAATTTGCAAAGTTATTATAGTCTAAAATTTTAATTGAATAGGCTCATTAAATCTGTATATATTTACAGTATTATATTTGTACAGTATGACTATAATACTAAATGGTCTTAAAAAAACAATTATTTTTAAGATAACAAGTGTTTGTTAAATCATGACTATTTATACATCTACCTGATAAACAATTGTGAATAAAGTGAACTTTCTTTGCATTATCAACTACTAATAATGAAAAGACATATCACCACTTTTTGTTATTAATTGATTAAACTCTGTAAATAGGACATTCTAGTATACTATTTATTTGACCAGTATTTTCAAACCAATTAATAATAATAAATGCATAGAAATGTTCATTATTGCTTTATGCCAGAAAATTGCTCTAATTACAGCAAAGTTTTCTTTCTCTTTCTCTTCCTGAATAGTAACAATATCTTCAAGATTTAGAGACCATTTTTTAATTATTCTATGATCATTTTCTATCAAATATGTTATATTTTGATAAAAACTTATTAACTTATTAATAAGAGCAGCATTTTGTCTGAAATCTTAATAAGAAAGTAATAATTCTAATTTGAATTTAGAACTATTTATATGGCATAATGCTACTTTTTTCTGTTTTGCCAATGGAATTTTCTTTCGTAACTTGATTTTAAAAATATGTTTTACTTGTGAAGATACTAAAAAAATTATAATCTTTAATTAGTATAATTGCAGATATACAAAATTAATTTTTTGGTTCTTTTTTTTAAAAAATATATATTTTTTCTTATTTTAAAATTTTTTTAATAGTTTATTAAAACTTGCCTTCATCATCATTAAGTTTACTTTCTTGAAAAGCTAATAAGTTATTAGCAATAAACCAATCAGTAAATAATTTTTCAAGATTTTGAGAGATTTCCATAAAACCTTGACTTGAACTTGAAGATCTGGTATCAATTCTACCATCAATTAAATGCCTTATAGCAAATAAGGTTGTATAATGTTTTAACAAGTCTAATTCAATATTCTTGCAATTAGTTCATGATACTATATTTTTAAAAATTTGATGAACCATTTCTTTCATACCAACTCCAGTATTAATAAGATTTCCATATGTTCATGCATATAATGTCAAATGAGTATTAACATGAAGATTAGGAAAACCCACAAATTCTTCAAAAACCTAAATGATAATTCTTATTTAATAAGTTATAAAAATATACTATATCTAAATATTTAATAACTAAATATAGTTATTATTCATATGCAGTTATGATATATATATTAAAATTTCTGTATATATAAATAATACAATATATACAAAAATTAGAATATCTTAATTGAATAATAACTATATAATTACTATTGTAACTATATATAGTTACTACATAGTTATATTATATTAAAATATTTGTTTAATTTTTGTATATTAATTATCTAAGTTAGTATTTGAACTTCAGTTTTCAAGATTTGCTGAAGATTTATATAATCATTTTCTGAATATAAATGCCTAAATACTAATTGCATTAATTTAGAAACTAAAACCCAATATTTAATTAATGACTTAGTAACTAAATCAATATGATTAGCATTAATTCTTCATTGAATTTTTACTAATTCAATATGCTTTAAATGGCAAGGTTTTAAAAATTAGATAAGAATAAATGGCATGACCATTGCTAATCAAAGGTAGTCAGACATCATAAAACTTTTATAATAACTAATTGGATTAGGCAGCTTTCTCTAATATATTGAATATTCAAAATTTTTTCAATATTTAAGAAATGTTGTTTGACCTTCTGGTAAAAACAAATAAACTGTTAAATTCAAAAGTCTTATTACTTTGCTAGCAGTTGCATGATAAATATCTTGGGGTGTTTAAAGATGCTGATCTCATATTAATTGGCTTAGCACTGGAACTTTGTTATATAATCCATAATTGGTTAAAATTATTTCATGTTCTCTTGCAGTATGAGCAGATAAAACTTTATTAAATTGTTCATTTGTAATATGGCAATACCTTGAAAGCTGTGCAATATCTAAATTATTATTTGTTAATTGTTCTTTAAAAGCTTGGCAAGTTCTACAATCTTTGTTAGCACTATGCTGTTTTATATCTGCAAGATCATTTCTTTGTAAAAGATCAGCTGTAACTATTCTAAGATCAGCAATTATCTAATAGTCTTGACCCTGAATATTTATAATTTGGACACACTCTAATAATTTCATTTCTGCAATGAATAGTTTAATAAATTCATTAAAAGTTCTACCAAAAGGCACAAACCCTAAAATGAAATGATTTTTTAATAGTTTTTTCATAAACATTAGCATGTTTTCAAATTGTAAATAAATTTTACTAAGAAAATAATACACATTTCAATATGTTCCAAAATTATCATAATAAAGATCCAAAAATAATTTAATAACTGGCATATCTTTATTTGGTGGTAATAATATCTTTGTATATTCAGATGAATGTTGATACTCTAATAAAATGCTTTGAATTTTCCAATATTTATTTAATTTATAAACTATCTCACTTATATTATAAGTAAACTCAGGTTTTCTATATGATGTAGTAACACTAGTATGATTAATAACATCTTGCAATTTAACTAATTTTATACTATTAAGATCAAATGAATTATTAATTAATCATACTTCACCAAGCTAGGAGCAAAGTTTTCTGTTATTGTTATGAAAATTCTTTGAAAATTCATGATATTCTATTATCTTTTGAACTTTTAATTTCAAAGTATTATCTGAGATAATAATAGCTCAAATTCATCCCAACTTTTTAACATTGTTCTAATAATAAATAAAATCATCAGCATAATATGTACCTAGATTTTTTTAAAAAAATAATTAATTTGTTAACTATTCTATACAAAGCTTAATACTTAAAAAAAAAAAAAAAAAAGTTAATTAGTTAAATCAAACATCTGACTAACATTCAAACTAATATTTAATATGTCCTATTCAATCAATATAGCAAATGTTATTTTGAATAACTGCCATTTAGCATGTCTAATTTTGTTATTTTTTTATAATAAAAAAAACTTATATTTGTTAATTTTAATTGAATCTTGGCCATATAGTAGAGATTCAGATCATAAATTACTATGCTAATATTCTGATTTATTGGTAACTTCTTGATCAGATCCAAAGTATATATGTTTTATTAAAGTTGAATTATTTAGTATATGCCAAATAATATTATTAATAGATAGGTAATAAGCATCTTTAGTATTTTTAGAATTTGATGAAGTTTTTTTAGCTGAAATATTAATAGTTCTTGAATATATTGGTATAAGAGGAAGATTATGTCTCCAAGATCTAAAATGCTGAATATCTTTACCATATGATGCAGATTGAAGCAAAAATGATGCATTATATTAACAAGATCATCATAGGCATTGGTAGCTAAATTAGCATTTTGTTAATAATTTGAATTCTAAATTTAAATTAATAAAGTAAGTTAAATCTTACAAATACTATGTTTTTGTATTCAACAAAATAACAATGTGGCAGTCAAATTTTTAAAATATAGTGAAAATTTATTTGTATTTTGTGATAATCTTTTAAAATCCAAGGCCTTGTTAACAATATTTTTAAAGTTTTTATTATTTAATAAATTATCTGATTCTTCTGATTCATTTGAGTTATCTGGTTCTAATTTATTCATTTCATTCGATTCATCTGATTTATTCAATTTATTTGAATTTTCTTCTGAATGTCTATCTAATAAATTATTTGAATGCTCTAAAAATATTGTTGACAAGTGTTCTGAATATGAGTTATTACTAATAAATTCTTCAGAAAAATTGTTATTGTTCTCTTGATTATAATCAGATTCTTCTAGAAAATCCAAATTAATTTCTTTTAAATTATTTGATTCTTTAGAAGAATCTATGCCAACATCTTCTAAATCTTTACTAATATCTCTCTTTAAAATATATAAATTTGTATTAAAGTTTTCCTGATATTGTGAAGAAATATGAGAAAACTTTTGTCTACTATAAGAAATCAACTTTTTGTAATCTTTTTGTCCAATTTTATTTCTCATCATATTGGCAAATAGAAAAAAAAAGTTAAGGTTATAGTTAATAAAAAACAATTCGCTATTATTTATTATAGTATAAAAATTTAATATTTATAAATATATAACATAACCTAATTTAAAAGTAGACTTTTAATACTATACATTTGTAAATAAAAAAATTTATATTATAAAAAAATTAAATTTACGTAAAATCATACTATATAGTTTATATTATTTAAACTATCATATAAATAAAAGTTAAAATTTATTAATTATTAATATCATAAAAAAATCAAATTTGCATAAAATCATACTATATAGTTTATATTATTTAAACTATCATATAAAACAAAAAAGTTAAAATTTATTAATTATTAGTATCATAAAATAATCAGATTTATATAAAATTATACTATTTAGTTTATATTATTTAAACTATCATGTAAACAAAAAGTTAAATTTATTACTATACAGCGCTGCATACAGTATTCGGTGTGACATGATTTTTAACATAGTAAAAAAAAATAAAAATTACATATGTTTAATGTCGCTCTACATTATTTGTCAAGCATAGTACTGTATGCAGCACTGTATGATAATTATTATTATTAAATAATCAAATTTATTTTTTTTTTTTTTTTTTTTTTTTTTTTTTTTTAAGTTAAAGTCCCTATCTTGGAAGTGGCGATGTTTTTATTCAAGTATATTAGAACACGGCATGCCACCAAGGGCTCATCTTACATTGGAGGTTACAACTAGCCATACGTGCACTTTTGGTGCCTAATTTAAGTAGTCCGCTTACACATTACTATA